TCTCTCTCTCTCTCTCTCTCTCTCTCTCTCTCTCTCTCTCTCTCTCTCTCGTCCCTCTCTCGTCCCCCATTCCCCCTTCAACCGAGGGCTCCAATAAAAGTTGTGATTTGGGAAGGATTCTCGATTTCGTGGTCGCTTCTGCTTGCTGGACAAGGGATGCGTCTCACAAGTTCCTGCTTTGACTTGACTCCCTATTGTGTCTGATTGTCCTGTTTCATGGAGCTGCAGACTGGGCGGATAGCGTACTCACCTTTCCCTGGGGAATAAGGAGGCTCAGGAAGCCTAGCAACAAATAAGAACAGAAGGTACTCAAAATCAACCCTAATGTCCACATAGACACACATTTGAGCCCTCATTGCTGTCACACTTGCAGTCTCCATTATGCTCTGGAAATAGCATATTATTTTATAGTTGAGATCTATGGAATTTTACATCCCTATCCTATGAATCACCTGTTTTACTGGGTTCTCTTTTAGTTAATAGCGTCCAGTTAATTAATGTCCTTTCTAGATATGTTTTATTATGATACGTTCATTTATCTCTCTTATGATGCAATCATTCTGAATTATTTCCAGCTTTATACCAAAATAAACTTTTCCTCTTTTAAGTTTATTTATCTCAAGATTTTGCCCTAATGACATAGAGCTGACTAACACATGCTCCTGTGTTCTGAAATAGCATATGAGTAATTTGTTCTTGCCGGTAATTTCGCTACTTTTGTGAACAGTAGTACACTGAGTCATCACACCACCATAGACCAATCACACGTGTGTGTGTGTGTATGTGTGCACACCCGTGTGTATGTATATTGTATATGTCCATGTGTTTTAGAGGTAAAACACATGCTCTGTGCATTTGTGGAAACCAGAGGAGGGCTTCAGGACTCTTTTCTGTGACTCTCAACTTTAATTCTCTGAGACAGGTTCTGTCACTTGGCTTGGAGCTAGCAAGCTCCAGTGATCTCCCTGCCTCTGTCCTCCGCAGCACTGGGGTTCCACAAACAAGCTGTTCTGTGACTGTTTAGATCTAGTCTCGGTTCCTCATGCTTGTGCAGCAAGTACCAAACCAACCTAATCTCTCTAGCTCAAGCATCCACTTATTTTTAAAGGATTCCTATTTTAATTAGGTGAATAGTGCAGTACCTACAGAGGACAGAATGGAACATGGGGTCCACCGGAGCTGGAGTTGTAGGTGTTTATAAGCCATCTGTGTTGACTTTGGGAACAGAACATGGACCCTCTGAAAAACATGGTACATGCTCTTAACCATGGAGCCAGCTCTCTACCTACTTCCTCTGCTTGTTTTTTAAAATGACAATAATTCCCCATTGTCACTACCTGAAATCAGTGTACTGTATTCATGGTGGCTTGTCCCTACATATAGCTGTGTATGTAAACAATCTGCCAATGCTGTATTTGCAGTCAGGCTGTTTAAGGCTCACTCCTTAGGCTCTCAGGGGAGAATCATGAAAACAATATTCCCTGTATTCTTGCATAAGAATCAAATGGCACCAGTGACTTTCAACTTGCAGATCAGTTGGACCTGACAGAATCATGGGTTTGCATTTCATTTTCTTCAACATTTTAAATGCTCAGATGAAAAAAAATTGTTTTCAAAGAGTCTAATTGGAGCACTAATTTATTCAGCTTATATATTATTTGAACTTTCA